CTGCTTATGGCGGCCAGAGCCAGCCTGCTTATGGGGGCCATAGCCAGCCTGCTTATGGCGGCCAGAGCCAGCCTGCTTATGGGGGCCAGAGCCAGTCTGGCTATGGTGGTGATAGCCAGCCTGGTTATGGTGGCCGCAGGCAGTCTGGCTATGGGGATGATAGCCAGCCTGGCTATGGTGGTGATAGCCAGNCTGGCTATGGGGATGATAGCCAGCCTGGCTATGGTGGTGATAGCCAGCCTGGTTATGGTGGCCGCAGGCAGTCTGGCTATGGGGATGATAGCCAGTCTGGCTATCGTGGTGATAGCCAGTCTGGCTATGGTGGTCGTACGCAATGTGGGTATGGGGATCACAGCCAGTCTGGGCATGGGGATGATAGCCAGTCTGGCTATGGTGGCCGTAGGCAGTCTGGCCAGTCTGGCTATGGTGGTGATAGCCAGTCTGGCTATGGTGGCCGTAGGCAGTCTGGCTATGGGGACGAAAGCAAGTCTGGCCATGGTGGCAAGCGGGAATCTCGCTCTGGTTATAACCGCCGTGGAAAAAGCGGATCAGGTTCAGATGATTGATTAAAAAAAGAAAAGAAAAGGATAACCTTTTAACTTATTGGACCTATTTGAATGTTTTCACAGTATATATTTTATTTATATATACATATAGACTTATCGTCAGCCCAAATGAATCGTATCTGTTTATCAATCAGAAGAGAGCTTCAGGAAATTCTTTCATGGAGGCTTCTGCATCGTGCAAGGAGGAAAAAAAGCTGGGGGAGGGAGGATGGTAGAAATGAAGCAGCCAAGGGATGAAAGGTAGGTGGCAGATGATTGATTGAATCATGATATATTGGTACCCAGAGATCATCAGGATACCCTTTTTTTGCCATCAAAAACGTTTTTCAAAGTACTTACCGACAGTCAAAACGTTTTTAGTAACTTTTACCCTTTGATGGCAAAAAAAGGGTCTGCACTTATCAATCAGAAGACCAATTCAGGAAGTTTACCCATGGAGGCTTTTTTATCTATCATGCGAGGAATGGGTGTGGGAAGGGGGGGGGGGGATGGACACAAGCAGAACAGGAAACCAGTCGATGCGCCAGCTTCCTTGTACTTGGTACGAAAACTTCAAATGAGGGCTGCCTCAGGGCGTTTGGCATGGATACGAGCAGAACAGGAAACCGGTCGATGCGGAATGGAAATTGCTTAGATCGACGACCAAGCTCCGCTGTATTCGAAGCACAATCGAAATTTCTTAGCCACAGAGAAGTGGAGCATGAGGTACCAAATTTGTTGAAGTTGCCAAGAGAGCGCCACAGCTACCCTCCCGCCGCGATTGGAAGAAATGTGGAGCTGCTCGGCATGGCTCTCGGCTTCTTGGGAGAGAGAGAGAGAGGGGTTATATGTGACGAGTCTGATGACCTAGTCGTTGTGTTGTTACTTAGCAACTTCCAAGTGTCCCCGGACTCGTCTGATTTTCTGTGACTTCCAAGTGTCCCCGGAGTAGTCTGATTTTCTGCGACATCCAAGTGTCCACGGACTCGTCTGATTTTCTTCTCAAGCCCGCTGGCAAACTTTCGATGGTGTTTTTGATGATGTTTTTGATGATGTTTTTGATGATGTTTTCGATGATGTTTTCGATGATGATTTGCTGTTTTGTCCCTGAAGGAGAGTCTTCAATTTTGTTTCTGAACCTCCTGGTTGAAACTCTGCCATTTTGTCTTTTATCTACCGGCGTGTACTCGGCTCTGCGATCATTCAGTTGGCATGTACGGAGCAGAGAAAATGTTCCAAGTGGTTAGCGTACGGAGCACATGCGAACAAGTATGATATGTCTGTTGGTGTGGCGTAGGAGGAGGAGGGGGCATAGGCGGGACGCCGTTTTTGCTAATAATGGAAGCCTGTGGTGTAGGCAAAGTACATACCAGTGATTACGCATGATTACAGAGAGGTGGAGTTTGTTGGTCCCCCCTCTAGACCAACAAACTCGTGAATTAAGCATGAGGTCATGGGTAGGTTCTCACTGCAGATGCTTATGGACCTTGGGGGAATGGACTCCAAGGGAACCTTTTGCAATTATAACTTTGAGTAAGAATGTTGAGGTCTTTGTTTTCATGAGGGGGGGGGGGGGGGGGGGGGGGGGGGGGGGGGGAGGAGGTCTGTGCTCAGGTGTGTGGGTCTGTGTTTGGGTGTGTTGTAGATTTTCACCACAACTGCCCCTGTTCTACCGAGAGATGAGTACCTCGCAAACTCAAATCAGCTTTAACTCTAGTGTTGCAGATAATGAAGCACACTTGACATGGGCCAATACAAGGATGAAACAGTTGAGATGAACCAATACAAGTTATACGACCATGAAACAGTTTAGGTCTAAAAGCTCTTTAGCAAGCAACAAAATGGGGCGGAATAGATCTGTGTCTGTGTTGGGGTGTGTTGTAGGTTTTCACGACAACAGCCTCTGTTCCACCCAGACGAGTATATCCGAAATCGAAGCATCTTTGCCTCTATTGCAGACAATCAAGCACACTTAAGATGAACCAATACAACCATGAAACAGTTCTACCTCTTTAGCAAGCAACACGGAGCAGAATAGATCTGATGTATCCCTTTCTTGACTACCTTTACTTTGGCTTTTTTCTTCGGGGTAAACCTTTTATTTTTCCTTTCAGTTCCCTTTTTACTCTGTGCCTCTTGCGTCCAAAGCTGGTCATGTTGATCGTTGATGGTGGTTGAGCATCCGGTGCCCACATTCCCGTGTGCCATAATGGCCCACGTGTACGCTGGGGTGTGTGTGTGTGTGTGTGTGTGTGTGTGTGTGTGTGTGTGTAGACATCCCCAAACTCTCTCTCTCATTCCATTCACATACCAATCAAAAACCATCCATAAACAAAAAAAGTATAGATGAGCAATATAATAGAAGGTGCAGACGGCAAGAGGAGCATGAGCAATTGCACGCAGCCGAAGGCGTATAATGCTTCCGCATGCTCTGCTATGTTGCAAGGATGTACCGCAGGCGGGGGTTGAGGTAGCAACGGGATGAAGAAAGTGAAAGCTAGAAATGCGAGAAAGGTGAAAAATGCCAAGAGACTGCATGCTGCTGGTTCTGCGTAAGTTGTGCTGCTCCTTCCCTTCTTCATCCCGCCTTCTATGCAATTGCATATGCTCCTCTTGCCGCAAGCACGGTATCTACTATGCCTATATTGTACGTGTCTGAGATTATCACCGCTGCTATCATGCCCGTCAAGCCTACCAGCATGCCTACCGTAGGCACACCGCTTGCCTTCTAGCTGGCGCCCTTCTCAGTCATAGTTTCCTGATATTCTCCTGATTCATGCTGTGTAAGATGGAGCTTGATTTTGTGTAAAAAAAAAAAAAAAAAAAGGGACGCTGAACCCGTTTTCCAGCAGGTGACGCTCCCCACCAATAGATGGAGCCTCTTCCCGGGTGCTACCAGTAGTGATGCCTGCAATTATCAGCAGCACTAGCACTGCAGGGGGTCTGTTTAAAAAAATAATAATAATAAAAATTAAATAAAAAAGATTTGGGTGGAGTATGCAGAGCAATGCTTTTCCTTTATAATTGGAGGCACACAAGGCATTGAACGTCAACTCACCACCCAAAAAAAGGACACAAGCACATCTCTGACGATTAATATAAGGGAAAACTGGGAGGCAGTCAAGGTTTTCAGTTTTAAATGCGTTTCAGGCACGGTTTTGCGAATTTTGCTCCAAAGCGAGGAAAACCCTGAATGTATCCAACCCAGCTTTAGGGTTGGGTGGGGATGTGTTATATTCGAGGGATGCCTGAAGTGGATTTAGAACTGAAAACAAAGAGAAGAGGGCAAGGGTGTTCACAGTGACAAGGATGACAAGGGTGACAAAGCTGACGAGGATGACGAGGGTGACAAAGCTGACAAGGATGACAAGGGGGACAAAGGTGACAAGGAGGGCAAGGGTGTTAAGGGTGACAGGGGTGACAAGGAGGGTGAGGAGGGTGACAAGGGTAACAAGGAGGGCAAGTGTGTTGAGGGTGACGAGGGTGACGAGGGTGATGAGGGTGACAAGGGTGACGAGGATGAGGAGGCTGACAAGGAGGGCAAGGGTGTTAAGGGTGTCAAGGGTGACGAGGGTAACGAGGGTGATGAGGGTGACAAGGAGGGCGAGGGTGTCTAGTGTGTCAAGGGTGACGAGGGTGACAAGGGTGACGAGGGTGACAAGGATGACAAGGAGGGCCAGGGTGGTAAGGGTGACAAGGAGGTCAAGGCTGAAAAAGAGCTGAGAGGCGGACAAAGCGGACAAGGCTAGCAAACATGACGAGCGTGACAAGGTTGACAAGGATGAAAAAGGGCTGACGAGGATGACAAGGGCCACAACAGTTTCGCTGAGATTAAGTGTAGTATCTGTTCTGATCAGTTTAATAGCTGAAAATTTGAAGAAGAAAAAGAAGGGCCACAACAGTAAGGGCATACTCAAACTAAAACTTTCCAAAGTGCATCTGACTGCAGTTACAGCCAGACATGGATGCATGGGGCCACAATCATGTCCATAAATAAGTAATAAAGTACTCGTGTGTGTATGCCCTAAGTAGATTGATGTGAATATTTGACTTGCTGGTGGAAAAGGAACCAGACTTGTTTAAAAAAAGAAAGAGAGAATGTTTTAGGATTCTGGGGACTTCTAGCAACTCGCTTTAGGCTGTTTGATACTGATACGTTCATGGATCTGCGGTTGTTCGATGCCAGAAGGACGCTGGCCGGTGCTGGGGTGTTGACCTGTAACCTGCTGATTGCAGGAGCGCGAGGCCTGGTCGCGAGATCTGGGGATGCCTTGGGGTGGGCATTCCAAGGGACAACCAAGGGTAGCTGTTGGGACGACGCTGGCCGGAGCTGGGGCGAGTCGTGTTGCTCTGTAACCTAGCCAGGTGGGGGTGTGAGGCCTGGGAGAGCTCGACAGGGAATAAGACAGTGTTGGACAGTTTTAGAGAGTTTTGTTTGGGAGTCTAGGGGTTCTGAGCATTCGAAAAGAGGTGAGTATCCACTCATAGTTTTTTAACCTCTCCTATAATTCTCTTGAATTTCTTCAATAGTTCTCAGATTGATTCTCAGCCGAAGCCGGGTAATGGCCCCGGTATCTCAAATGACCTGTGCAACTCCATATGGGACGCTGGGCCCAGTTCCCAGCACGTGCTGCTCCACACGAATAGACTGGAGCATTTGTCCAAAAAAAAAAAAAAACCTGGTTCGGGGGCAATCAATGCGGGCAGGAGGAGGTCTTCTTAATTTTTTTTTCTCAAATTTTCTCAAAAAAAGACCCTTGAGAATGCCTTAGGATTCTCAGCACTCCTTGCAACTCATTTTAGGCATCTTTGATGCGGTTATATTCATGGACCTGCGGTTTTTCGATTGCAGAACGACGCTGGCCGGTGCTGGGGGGTTGCCCTGTGACCTGTTGATACCAGGAGCATGAGGCCTGGTAGAGAGATCTGGGGATGCCTTGGGCCGGGCATTCCAAGGAAAATCCAAGGGTTGCTGTCGGGACGACGCTGGCCGAAGCTGGGGTGAGTCGTGTTGCCCTGTAACCTAGCAGTGTGGGGGCATGAGGCCTGGGAGAGCTCGGCAGGGAATTAGACAGTGTTAGAGAATTTTAGAGTGTTTTGTCGTGGAGTCCAGGGGTTCTGAGCATTCGAAGGACTTTTGTGGTCATTGCTGGTTGAGTAGCCTAGCAATAGGTCAACAGTTATTCATATTCTTCATAAATCTTCCTGAGCTTTTTTCATAGTTTTCGGATTGTTCTTAGCCGAAGCCAGGTAATGGCCCTGGTACTTCAAATCATTTGTATGGTCTTCATGGGACGCTGGGCACGGTTCCCAGCACGTGTTGCTCCCCACGAATAGATTGGAGCAAAAAAAAAAAAAGGAACCGGACTGACGCTCCCCGGAATGGATATGGAGCCAGAACGTTAAGTTTTTTTTTTTTTTTTTTTTTTTTTTTAAGTAAAGATATGTGAGGTCAGACAACCAATGTGGTGGTCCCAGCAGATGGTTACTTCAACCGTTTCGTCAAACTGATCCTACAGTCTTCCCCCGAACAGAAGGCATGTGCGTTATTTACGAATAGAACGCATGGATCTGATCTGATCCCCCCCCACAAAAAAAAAAGGAACGTAAGAGAACTTGATGGGTTCCTAATTAATCGACTGATTTGCCTGGTGACACCAACCTTTCCATCCGATAGGGCTGACCTGCGATCTCGCAGCACGTTAACCAATGTGGTGGTTCCAGCAGAGGCTTACTTCAACCGTTTCATCAAACTGATCCTACAGTCTTCCCCCGAACAAAAGGCATGTGCGTTATTTACGAACATAGAACACACGGATCTGATCTGATCCAAAAAAAAAAAAAAGGACCGTAAGAGAACTAGATGGGTCCGTAAGACCCCTGATCATGCAATCCATCGACTAATTAAGCCTCCTGTAGGGCTGATTATCCAATTGACCGATGGCTTCGGCCTTGGCAAGTGAACATTATCAAATATATCACAATGCAGTAGAGAACGCAGCGCATGGGAAATTGCAGCTCCTTCTGCTGCTGCTAATCCCGCCGAGCCACCTCTTCCTCATAACCACCGTCTTCACCCCGAATAGAACGTGCGGTCATTGCAGCGTTCTTTGGGTGAACTTCCAGATCTAGGGATAATGATCGGGCAAGAAAAAAAAAAAGAGAGAGAGAGAGAGAGAGAGAGAGAGAGAGAGAGAGAGAGAGAGAGAGAGAGAGAGAGAGAGAGAGAGAG